CCAAATCGCCGCAACCTCCTAGCAATTTGATGTCCAACCCTTTCACGATCTCACGTCAGCGCCGAGAATTCGCGCGATCCCATCAACTTCTCAGGCAATCCGGTTTAAGTCTGGATCAACTCCCGCGTGATATCACTGCGAAAAAATCAAAGGAAACCAACCGTTTATTATTCACCCAAATTTATAAACCTTCAGTTTTAGTCACACAAAAACCGCTTCCCAGCACACGAAATCCGCCGCAAAATCGAGAGATTTAAGCGATTCAAGAAAGCCGATGATTAAAACTAGACCAAAAATCAACCCCCTAAGTCATCAGGAAGCCAATCTCCGAATCCCACACCAGAAGCGATCGAATCGAGCCAAGGCAATCAACAAACCTAGGGCTCCCTATCTTTCCCCTCGCAAACCCAGTCCAAAAATCGCACGCAAGCTATACGAAATCGCGCCACACACCCACCTCGAGATTTCGATTCGAGGCGCACGCAGTCGATCGGAGCAAGAGCAAAAAAAAACCCGAAGCAGTCTTGCGGCGATCGATCGATCGATGGATCGGATGGTTTTCGCTGGATTTTTGGAGATTTTCGGAGAGGGGGATTTGGTTTTGGGGAGAGGAGGAGAACGAGACCTTCCGCTTTCCTGGCGTTTCGGGAGCTTTTTGGGCTTTTGGAGGTGACGGGATCCTGTCGAGTTGGGGGGGGGGGGGGGGGGGGGATTTATAGCTTCCTTTTCCCGGGGGTTACGTGCACCACCAGGGTCAGCTTACCGGCTACGTGGGGGCCACCCCACCAAACCCGACATATCTTCACCGTTGATCTGGATTGGACGGTCCGGATCGACGCCACGTCGCCCGAAACGTTGGTGACCGCACATCTGACGATATTTTCAGCGTACATTTACACCCTACTATGAAATACACAACCGTAAATCGTACATAATCATCGTGTACAATAGGGTCTACTAAGTAATTTTTAAGATTGTACACCCTCCGTTTCACAATGTAAGTCATTCAACGGAGGGAGTACTCTAGTACTGTTTTGTCTTAAATTATTTTTTTTCTTTTTATATTTAATTAAAGTATAAACGGACGCACACGATACATACACTTCACTTTTTACTCACTCCACCACACACCCACACACGCATGCACGTCTTTTTATAGCCAGGCTAGAACTCGTAACAGTATTGTATTATGCAAAAACTGAACAATTTCACGTGAAACATCTGCAAATCTCACGGGAAGCCCTCGAGTTTATAAAAAAGTTTCATACCGAATAATAATGTAATGTCATCTGTGCTCATCCAAGGTCATTTGTGTGATACAATAACACCCAATGGCTCCACTAGATGGTACTACAATTGGAGGAGCACAAACTGCACAGATGAGACATGTCCTGCACAGATGAGACATGTCATTGGACGTTGGAATTTAACTAGGTATATCTTCCTCCAATTGTCCCATGATTAATTTTAAAAATACTTAATACCTTTCGTCTTCCATGGTGAGTTCATTGATGATGCAACACACAATCAGAGGACGGTCGTTTTATTTTCTTGACCTGGTAAAGGTGCATTTATAGGTAACACGTTTTTTTAATCCTCTCCTTAACTATACCCCTTTTGCATATGAGAGCCACTTGCACATTTATCTAACAAGGAGCAACTCGAAAAATCAAAATCAAAAGGAACTTAATTCACCACTCTGACTCATTCCATTGACACGTCACCAGTTGCATTTCCACAGCTTATCATTGCATGCAACACAAAAATTGGGAGGAAAATTATCACAAGGAGGACCATCTCTTCTCCGTTCTCACAAACCATGCATTAGCACCGTTTCACAGAGAAGAGATCCCCTTCCGAAAAAAACAAACTTTAGTTTATCTGATATTTCAAAAAGTTATATAATACGTAGTACTAACTGGCATGTATATCTTGAAACCCGTCGATCCAAAAAGAATTCTCAAATCGTAGGAAGAACATATTCACTGGAAAGGTTGATATCGACTGGAGCAAACAGCATCACGATCACGACTGGAGTACAGTAACAAGATGGCAAATTAATGATTGTCTAATTGACGTACTAGTACAGTTTTTTTTTTTATTTTTCGTGAACGCGTAAAAACTGTTCAAGTCACTGTGGATATGTTTGGAAGATCATAAAATTTTAAAAAGCTACCGGTAAGGATATGAAAAGGTTAAGTTCATTTTCTAAATTATATAACTATATATTCTCAAAATTTAAATAAAAATCTAGACGGTTGAGAAAGCTTCGCAACTGAAAAATTTTAAAAGAAGCTACCGGCTACCGGCCCTACCGCTGTCAGAAGTTGTCCAAACAGACCTATATAGTTTCGTGCCCGTTTATCATTGGACCGCCTATGAACCCACTGCTAGCCTCGTGCTCGTAGATTGGCGACAACTAGCTACGCATGCAAAAACGATTTGAGAAGGACCGAGAAAGACGTGCGTGATGGGGCCAGATACCGTGGCCTGGCCTGGCCTAACCGGGGCCATCATTTCATCCAACGCACAGACCATTAGGCTCTCGCTATCCGAAAGAACAGAAAATTAAAACAAATTCGCCACCACAAACGATCGCGTCGCTGCATCTGCTCTCTATCTGTACACGGAGATAAGACACGAGGGAATTATGCACAAAAAAGTCTCTCTCTCTCTCTCTCTCTCTCTCTCTCTCTCTCTCTCATTTTCGGAGGACGACGTTAATCTCGTTAATTAATTCAGAACACGTAATATTCAGAATATCACCAGTTGATATTATCACATAATTTAGACTTTTAACAGAGACGTGATCTACAGTGCATTATTCAGAGGATGCGGCAAATATAGAGATGATCATTATATCGTTGAAACGGATGAGCGCGCGTAGTTAATCTGTCAATTATTCGCCGTCATTTTCCCGAGGGAATATCGTGTTCCCGTGGCCATTTCGTCTTGTTCCGAGGACTAAGGACAAAGCTTCACGCAGTACGTGTTGGCGCTTTTCTGGCCAGCTGGACGATCATGCCATCAACACAGACACTGAAAGAACGATTACTACCTTGCTAGTGACATGCATGGCACGCCACCTTAATTATATTTCTTTCCATGGAGCTCGGACCAACTGCTTGATGAAACCAAACACGAGAGCTAATATGAGTTTCTTATCATTGCTAGAAGTCGAAATCAAATCACGAGGTCCCCAAACAGTAGGCCATTAATCTTAGCTAGTACTAGTAGCTACTCCCTCCGTCCCATAATATTACAACCTCGAATTGGATGTGATGTTTTATAGTACAATGAATCTGGACATTTATCTGTCTAGATTCGTTGTACGATGAAATGTCCCATCCAGTTCAAGGTTTTAATATTATGGGACGGAGAGAGTAGTTGGCACTTTAGATGATTAATAATAATAATAAGTTCAGCTCTGAATGATTTATCACGTAAATGGGAGGATAAGAATCGAGGCTAGCTATACACGATGCTTAATTTCGTCGTTGTAAGTTGTAAGCGAGAAAGTGACAGCTTCCTCAGAAGCAGGAGGCCCTCCATGGCTGGAGCGAACTGCCAGTGCCACCTGCTCATTTCGACGAATCTCGGCTTTTCTCGCTGCACATGGAGGAAGAAACTCATCAACCCATCTGTTAGCCGGTCGGCACTCTGGCCGGATCACTCCGTCGGCGGGATCCCTCACCTATTGTCACCTCACCCGTCGATTGGCAATTTGTCCGTGGCATCAAGGCTACGGAGTAGTTCATTAGCGTATAATTAATTAGGTATTAGCTATTTTTTTAAAAAATAGATCAATATAATTTTCTAAGTAAATTTCGTATATAAATTTTTTTAAAAAAACACCGTTTAGCAATTAAAAAAACGCGTGCGTGAAAATACAAGATCGACGACATAGTACGGCCGCCAATGCAGCGAGCACCAGCGCCTCCTACGTGCTGTACCAGTTTCCACCAACCTCTGCCTTTCTCTGTTGCGCGCAGCCGCGCGCGCGGGGTCTCGCGCCGTCCTTGGCGACGAGACGACGGAGGGAGCGCGCGGCAGCGGCACGCGAGAGAGTCGTTGTGTTGCGCGCTCACGCGCGAGGGGATCGAGTGATCGACCGACGGATGCTTCACCCTGCGACGCCCGAGCGCGCGCGTGAGCGAGACCACGCCAAACACGCGCGCAGCCCGGCCGGTGGGCTGCAGGAAAACGAGTGGATCACGCGGACGCGCGCGCGCGAGGCGCAGTTGGTGTGTGTCCCGAGGAGTACGTAGGAACTCTACTGGTGTGGCGCTCGGAGTCGGAGAAGCTACTACTCGGCTGGAGTGCAGTTCCAGCCAACACGGACGTGTACCGAGTACCGACGGTGTAATTTTCACGGGCCCCGTGATTTCTCCCGTTCCAAAATTAAAGATATTACTACGAATTTGAAACAAGGAATTTTTACACTTAGGTACCACATATCACCCATTATTTGCATTTGACTTAAATAATTATATATATTTTTAAAAAATGTAAACATAAAGAAAATTATTTTTGTATCAAAGGGAAGGCACCCTCCATTTACATTAAGATTGAAAACATCAATTGGGATGACATAAGCCTATAGACAGACACGCAAGACTAAATTTAATTCATAACTAGAGAAAAAAAATAATAAAATCAAGTAGAGAATAGTATATGTACAAATCAGATAAAATTTGTTTTTTTATGCATATATCAAATTTAGATTTGCATGATTGCGTGGAGTCTTATAATATCATAATATTTCTTGTCAAATTTTATAAAAATTTTATATAACTATTTAGACCGCATGCATATACCTAGATGTCATGGTATCTAGTGGTTGAAAATATTTTTCCTACGAATCAGGACTAGTATTAGGATTATTAACATTTTAAACTAGGCTTATTTATTTTGAGATATATATTATAAATCGTTTGACTTTTTTATAGTCAAACTTATTTAAATTCGATCAAATTATAGTAAAATATAGTAGTGTTTCCAACACAAAACAAACATGTTATCAAACTACATTCAATTTTAAGTTTAATAAAACTAATTTCATATTTTAGATGTTAATTTTTTTTCTATAAATTTGATCAACCTTTGTTAAGTTCGATAAAGAGTAAATAAGCTAGCGTGCAATCGGAAGGAGTGCGGGTCATGGCGGGCCAGGAAGAAGAAATCGAAGCCTCGTGGCCGATGCTGGCGCCATACATGCAGGACGCGGTCAGCGCAAGATGGATGTGGAGCCGCCCGTTTCCCATGTGTTGAAGCTGCAACCAACTGGGAGCAAAACATGCATGTGCTATAGCTGATCCTGCAGGTCCATTTCTCATGCTGCAAGAGGGCGTACGGGTACCAGGTTTCCCTCCCATCATCCCATGTACCTTGATGGCTTGATCCGTTGATCGTGTGCAAACCTAACGGACACTTAGCGTGAGAAGCATATTTGACATATGAGCCGGTAAAGCATTGTTGTCACACGCACATGGGACCGATCGACCCCTCGCCACAACTAACTTTGTCCGGTGCCACTATGCTAATATGGCCGGTTTAAGCTATTGACTCTAAAGATCAGGGCAAAGCGCTTCTACCTCAAAGAAACGAGGGACACATGGCTAAAGCACGAAGGTTGCTTTTAATTTGGTTGGGAGAAAAAGAAGGGGTCTAGAAGCATCTGTCTACTGGCACATCATCTAACCAACACGCTAAAAGAGCATGACTAGTGTAAAGATGCATGCACAAGGGGAACACAAGGAAGAGAACCAGCCAGCTGACCTTGGAAAGCTAGTTGATTATACGCAAAGCGATATCGTCAAAGTAAACCAGTTTAAAGTGCAGTAGGTGCTACAATGTGCAAGCAATTCTATAACCAGTTTAAAGTGCAGTAGGTGCTACAATATGCAAGCGATTCTATAACCAATTTAAACTGCAATAGGTGCTACAATATACATGCAATTCTAGGTAAACGTGAGATAGCTCAACTGTTGAAGTGGCATCTGAGGCCATGGCCTCAAAACCAAACAGATAATCTTAATTGATCATGCAAATGGAACCCACCAATATCCACCTACTAGAGTACTAGGTCGCTGCTCACCAGATAACGAATGAAGACGATTAGCGAGATTGGGTTCAAAACAAATAGCCATGTAAATGTTTTTCTTTTTTTTAAAAAAAAACGTCGATAGATACATGGAAATAATCAAGAAATTAACATGTTTGCAATTTATCGGGTTTGGAGCAGAGAAGCACATGATAGAAAACAGAAATTGAAACAGAGGAACACACTCAGAAAAGTTCAATGAACAATATCTTCAAATATATTTTACCAGCAATTAAATCCACAAAAAGAACTATTAATACTCCAGTCAAACTGGAGAGAGCAGGGTAATTGGGAATAGGTAGCTTAAGATCTGAAAAAAGAATTACCTCCGAGACATCTAAATTTCTTCTCTCTCTGGTTCAGACTGCTGTTCGAAACTGGTCCATAGAAAAAGCAAGCAGACAGAATCACAGAACACATGGAACGGGAGCTGGCAACAAGAAAAAGGCCAAGCATTACAGTCCCTAGTATATTTCAACTGAGCAGTATTCAACAAGTATCGTAGGGAAGCAAAAAATGACAAACATATGGTCACAAAGGGGATGAATAATATGCGATTGAAACAAGTAATTTCTGCAGCGCTCTCTAATCAAGTGGAACAAAAATAAGTCATGGTGCACAGGGCTACAACAAGATTGTAAAACACTGACGCTTGTAACATTCAGAACATGCAATTCCAACATGGCATCAGCACCATACCAGAAACAAGAGCTCAGACGAGAAAGTTGGTTGCATCCAAAGTCATACAAGATACCAAAATTAGCAAACAGAGTTGACAGTGACAAAATAAACACTAAAGCGCTTCTTCATTCTACTACAAATCAATCATACTACTAAATTAGAGAAACCAATGACTAATGCAGGAAATGCAGCCGCTGTATCCTATTGAACTGAAGTTAGATTGAATAACAGGTCCCAACTAACTTCCACCAGGATGTATTGATCTCACAAGTTCAAATAATTTAAATGGCATATGCTACCCAAGAATAAAAAGCACTAATAATACTTTTCAATAGCTGACAGCTCATAGATAAAGCAAGACAAATCAAAGAAATATCATTCCACACTGAATCCAGCACCGAAGCATATCAAATAGATGTGATGGTCATCCAATGCAAATGGTTCAGCCATGGTTTTATCATCCTGGTAGCAATGAAGATATCAACTTGTTCGGTCCAAATTGCAGGTTTTTATTGAAAAATACAGGTACTATTTCAATAGTAAAAAAGGCATAGTTCTTTAATGCCGAGATGACACCAGCTAGAAAAATATCCAGCATGTGCACAGAAGGTTAAATAAGTTTAAGCACTAAAAAAAGCTGGAGTTTTAAAAATTAAGAAATCTTGCTGAATTCACTTGCCTTCATGGCCTCGTTTATTAGTTCTTCATTTGTCAGTTTTAGATCAAAAGTCATTTTCTGGAAAACCTGAGACAATATCATAACATCTCGCATTGCTCTATGCGCATCGTCATGCGAGACGATGCCATAGTGTTCTCTCAGTGCCTCCAAGCTTGTACGACGTTTTTTCCCTGCAACAGAATAGTAACAATATGTAACTTCGGCTAGTTATTATTAAATGAATAGACCAAATAGCACAGATAGGGAACCTAATTGAGAAATGAAAACAGTAAGGCAGAACAAAATAAAATGAGATGTGTCCCTAACTGGGCCCCAACATATGTACAGCTCCAAGCTACTGCTCCTAACTAGGACAATATATCAGCATTTCACTTTTCTGTTAATCCTCATTATGACATACACTCAAAGCAGTACATACGGGAACTTCCAGAAAAGAATAATATGTTCGCTTTTCGACAAACAATACAATGTCATATAAAAACCTCAAGAACGGTCAGCAAATTCCAAGAACTACGGATTTGCTAATAGCAGAAACATGGAAACTGAGTTGTACTACTAAACCATACACAACATCCTAACAGAAGCACTCTTTTTGCATGGTTAAAAGATGAAGTGTGGGTTTCATCTTACTCAATATGCTCCTGGCAAGCAGATAGTGAGTCGTAATTAAATGAAGAATCTAGCTTAAAAGGATGAAGATAGTGAGAATGACACACTCCAAAATGCTGCGAGAAGTGTGTCCTTTTTTTCGCATGCTCAAATCAAATTGACCCCAAAATATACAGTATCTTCACATGCAAAAGACTTAGAGTGAGAGTACTTACCCTCTGCTTTCACCATCTTTTTTGCCAAGAGAAGGGTGTCAAAAAACAGCCAATCTGCAGGAAGTGGTGCTGAACAACGATCAAACTCCTGAGCAAGGAAACGAGCATCAAATTGTTTTGCGTTATGAGCAACCCACAGAACTGGCTTGCCAGGAGCTTGGCGACTTCGAACGAATGCCAATAGTAGTGGGATTACATCACTAAACCTGTGGTAGTCATATTAAGATAACATTCAGAATAAGTGAAATAGTAAATTAACTGTTGGTGAAGTGAGATATGCATAACCAGTTTTCCATTGCAAAAACTAACTTATTCCTACAAGCAAATAATTTACAATAAAACCTGCCTTAATGGCATGCATGCTTGTGAAAAAGAGGGAATACAGAGCTATTGCATACATTTTCCATAACTAATTCAATACTATGGTCTGTTCACAGCATCATGTTGAGTGACAAATACATCAGGGCATGTTGACGACGACTGTTATCAAGACATGTGATGAAGAGATTAGGAATAATATGGATTCGTTGGATGCAAAACACACCTTGGGATACCAGGCCTGCACACGAGATCAGTGCCAATTTTAATGAGATGTTCAACGTAGTCAGGAACAGTCCTTTCAGGATTAACAAGAGTTTCAAAAGTGCTATTCTTTCCTCCAGAAAGATCACAGAGTGCAAACTCAACTATTCTATGATCCTTATGGAAATAGCCAGTAGTCTCAAGATCAAAAACTAGAATAGTTGCTGCCGCCGCAACTTCCTTCCCATGTTCCTGTACTTGTGTTGTGAAATGTCGTTTCCCACAGCTTCTAGGATCAAGCAATTCTACAGTTGATAATCCGGCTTGTTGCTTAAGAAATCTGACAGGGAAGCTACTCCATATACTGTTCCTCAGCTGAATGGATCGAAGAATCGATGACATTGTGCACAGGAAATCCACTTAAAACCAATACGCAGAGCCAAACCTGTATACATTGTCCCACACAACTACCATGTCAGAGTAGATGGCAAGTAATCAACCTCACAGTGTTTCGATATGAAATTTAACCTCCCCCCCAAAAGAAGACTTATCTTCCAAAGTCAATACGTTCTAAACGTAGCAAACGAAAGGAACTCACAAGACAGGATAAATTGCATTAAAAAAAGGGTAAATTTAAAAAACGATGTTTTCACGCGCAGCTGAACTTCCGGAAGGCATGAGGCCTGCGTGCGACTCCTGTCGACACACATCATCCAATCCAGCACCCCCTATAGTTGAGACAGGCTTGAGCATTTCACCTCTTAAAATAAAATGGACTAATTTTTCAGTTTCACGGACCAACCAGGAAGATAGGCTCGCAGCTATGAACTCCCGCAACCTCCCCCAGCGAGAAACAAATAAGAAATCTGCAGGTTCAGTACAGCCAGTATCCCTCCCAGAACCCTACTCCCAACAGTCCCAACTCCCCCCAAATCTCCTCCCCCCGCACCCTACCCAGATCATCCAGGCATAACATCACCACGAGAGAGAGAGAGAGAGAGAGAGAGAGAGAGAGAGAGAGAGAGAGAGGAAGGAATGGAGTTTACCAGCGCCGACATGAGCGTACGACCCCCGCCGAGATGCCCACGCACGCCGCCACCTCCCCCGCCGCCGAGGGATTTAGCTAGGGGTGGCTGCGGTGGTGAACTGATTGTGTCGCGCGGCGCGTGATGCGGCGAGCGAGACGGGGTGGGGTCAGTTAACAGAGGTGGTGGGGGATAACGGCGCGGAAAAAAGTCCATTTGACAACCTTAAAATATGCCGCAACTAATTCCTATCCCTAAGCGAGTAAACTGGATAGTTTCTCGAAGTATTGAAACCAGTGTAATTTAACTCCCCAGCGATTTTGGAGGATGGTTTTAACTTCTCTAGCAGTTTTGGAGAACGGTTTTTACTGACGTGGTGGTGTTGACCTGATTTTCGTCCCATGTGGGGGCTTATGTGGTATTAGAATTAAAAAAAATTATGTGGGATCCATTTACCATCACTCTCAAAACATATTGCAAGACCCCCATCCTCTCTCTCCAACCCTTCTTCCCTTGGCTTCTCCCCTTATCCTCATCTAGCATCGGTGCAGAGGCTGCGCGCGGCGGCCAGGCGAGGCAACAACAGCGGCGACGGTGATGGTGTGGAGTTGGCTCGCCGATCCCCTCCTTCCAACAACCATGGACGACGAGGAGGAGCATGGCGCAGCACGGCGCGGCGTTGCTGTCTCCCTTGTCGATGGCCCCATCTCTCTTATCGGGAGCCTTCCCTCCTCTCCGTCCTTCACCACCCCTCCCCCCTCCCAGCGGCGGCGGTGGAGAAGGCCGAGTGAGGCGGCAGTGGCGGTGGAGGAGGCTCGCTACCTCTCTCTCTCTCTCTCTCTCCCGAGGACCCTTCCTCCTCCTCTCCATCCACCCTCCACCCTCTCTTCACTGTAAGTGCGGTGGCCGATGAGTTAGCGGTGGCGCAAGTTTGGGCTCGCCTGACAGAGCGGATAGGATCAAGGAAAAGGGTGGGGAGCTAGAGTAGGAGGCTGGTCGAGGATGGAGTGGAGCAGCGCAGGGGAGCTTGGGGTCATGCTCCCAAGCAGCAAGGGTCTCCCGCGACGGAGATGGACAGGAGCATCGCGAGCGGCGTCACTAAGCTCCCAAGCAACATGGACGTGGGACGTCGACAACGCTACCGGGTGATAGAGACAGAGTCGGTGGTGGGAGTCGGATGTGGGGAAGGGTGACGAAAGGGGCACAGAGAGGTGAGGAAAACTTTGGTGGAAGGGCCACAGCCGTCGGTGAGGAGGCGGCAACAGAGAGTGACACGAATTGCGTTGCTTGGTATGTGAGGAACCTCACCCACAATGACATCGTGAACTCCTCCCACACGCGTGCTTAGTTGGGAAGATTCTCCTCTGCGCGTGCCCAACTGACGACTCCTCTCAGAGCACGACCTCCCAGCGAGATCCTCCCCAGCGCACGACTGGCCAGCGAGCTCCTTCCCCATGCGCAGTCTCCTGGTGAGGTCCCCCCTCACATGTTGGGATAAGGGAGAGAGAGAGGGGGGAGGAAGAGGGGTTGGAGAGAGAGGATGGTTGTGGGTCCCACAATATATTTGAGTGTGAATGACAGATGGGTCCTACAGATATTTTTGTTAATTCTAATGCCACATAAGTGTCACGTGGGATGAAGACTAGATTAACACCGCCACGTCAGCAAAATCGCCCTCCAAAACCTCTGAGGGAGTCAAATTGCACTGGTTTCAATAGTTAAGGAGTCATCTGATCCAGTTTTCTAGTTAAGGGGTACGAATTAGAGTGGCCTCCTTCTGAAGGGAGTCGGAGTAGACTTTTTCCTAACGGCGTTGTGTGACTGTGCGGTGGGGCCTTTCGACCTGGTGAGAGATGGGCCGAATCTAACGGCCCGTTCCTCCGTGGTTTTAGTCACCGAACCCCATTACAACCGGAGTGTACTGAGTAAGCACGGCCTGAGTAAGATATTTGGGCCAACATTTATGTGCTAAATCTTCTTTGGGCCAAGGCCTGATTAAATTTAGTTCCTACTACTGTAGCGAGCAAGCTTGCTTTCTTCAGTTTTCGTTGCAGTATAAACTATAAGCTGTTAAGTTCGATCAAAATCAATCTTACATTTAAGATCCAAACCGATGTGATGTTTTGTTAATCATCCAAATCGAAATCGAGACTTATCGTCAGCTAGATTAGAAGCTAAGCGTGGGGCTATACGCTGGCGTTTTCATCAGTTGGTTCTGAAGGTTCTTTCAGTATCAAGTGTACTGTCTGCATCCTGCAGTGCAGCAGGGAATAGAGTTAACCTCTCTCTAATTATTCGTCCTCCTTTTTGCAAGGATTTTTTTCTGTCTTACAGATGAACTCGGGTGAATCCAAAAGAAACCAAATTGATCGATCGATCAAGATCAAGTACAGTAATTCAGTCCAACTCCAACCACTGTGTATTGCCACTCCATTTCTACAATTCTACAGATGCACAAATCTCTATTTTTCTTTCATTTCGTCAGACGTGACGCAACCTTCACGAGCAAGCGTGTGTTCGTCGTGCTTGCATAATGCTCTACTTGTCCACATCACACTGCCCCGTCGTTGCTGCCGTCCTTATCCCCCGTAGGATGACTGATCCTTGTCTTCTGACGAACAGCAACAACAACGCATGCACTGCACTGAGCTGAGCTGGATGGATTGTATATCCTAGTATGTAGACCCGTATCTGATAGTATATTGAGATGTGAAAGGAATACTTCATAGAATCTTTGCCCCATGGTTAACTATTGCAGCATCATGGAATCACGATCCTGTAGAGATTAGTTGTCTTTTTTACAGAGTTCGGTGTACAATCTCTGTAGGTGCAGTGCTGTCCGTAGGAGTTGGTGGTATTTGCTGTCATCCTGAAGCTTTAAGGTGTTGTTTGGTTCACTCCCAATCATTGCCAAACCTCCATGCCAAACATAGCTAAATTTGTGGCTTATAAATTGATGACCACACCTTAGGTAACTTTTGGCTAAAAGATGGGTGTATGACATGTGGGCCTTTGAATTGAAAAACTTTGGCATGCCACAACTTTGGAAGTGAAATAAACGAGTATCCTAGAAAGTGTAGCAAAGTTTGGCAAAGTGAGGGAGTGAACCAAATAGCCCCTAAGTAGTTTCACAAAACAGTGGCTGAAATACAAACATGTTTATGAATCTTGGCCCTTTTTCTCTCTGACTTATTCATCCAATTATTAAATCATATTTATTTATCGCATTATTGAAACGGGCTATTTGCGTCTTCATGACGAGAGTTTTCGAAGAAAATCCGTAACATTTTTACCATGGTAAGCAAACAAAGACTATATCAAAACTGCTTTGGAGCAAAACTATGGGCTCTTCCTAAGAACATTTTTTTAATTTCTGTTACCAGTTACAATTGATGTTTAATTAATTTGTGTAAAAGAAGCATATGCTGGCGCGAGTATGTCGCATGATTTTTTATTTTCCTTGGCCTATCTGGAAGCAACATGTATGTGTTATTACAAAAGGTAAGATCAGCCAATTACTTCTCAGTAGTGGGTAAGATTAACCAATTACTTCTCGGTAGTTTCTCACTCTTGTACTCCAACTGGGTGTGTTAGCCTTTCTCTTGTGACATGGAAAATTGTATTCAAAAGCTTGGAAACAATTTTCTATATCAATTTGATCTGTAGATAAGATTCCATGCACGCGCATTGATGGTGCAGAAAAGAATTTTTAGTTCGTGCCAATTCACAGAAATGACAATGCAATAAGGCATTCGGGAGCTTGGTACTGTTTGTTTGTTCTTTAGGTGCCAGAAACAAAGGGCAGAAATCAAAAACTTGAGATGGTCACTACTATGTCCTGTCCTTAGCAAGGAACATCCATGTGCAAGCGTGCTGTTCTTGCAGCTGTCCAAACAAAAATTCCAATTCAGAGAGGCCACTAGCGGCATATGCAACGAACCAGCAATTTAATTATTGTACTTGTATAGCATAATTTACCATGAAATCTGAATGAGAAAATTTACCCCCCTGTATAAGAGCAAATAATATTTTCCGCATTACTTGTACAATTTTTTTTCTCCTGTTATATTCAATAAAATTAGCACAATTTAGTGTCGGTTCATTAAAAAAAAGAATGAGAAATTTGGGGTCATTAAGACTTAAAAGAGGTACTAAAATTTTGTGTATGGAGATTTTTTTTTGGTGTGCTGGGAGTGTATGAGACCCGTCCATCACTTCTAATCTAATAATTAATTTGACACCTCCTGTTATCTAGGTACTGAAAGGTAGCAATTTTTTTCGCCGGCCTAGCTAGCTAGCCGATGTATTAAGGAGGAGAGGGTTTAGAAACTGTACAGGGATGTACAAACAGAGCCAAAAGCCAAAAGTCTCACACCAAAAGCCAAAAGTCTCCTACTACTTTGGGACTGTTCCTCAGTTACAAAAGAGATAGTAATAGATAGAGAAGCATAAATACCTCCATTATTTGTAGATGTCACTTCACATCAAAGAAGAATTCGGCTTAATCTCATCTTTTAGATGCTAGAAGATCCTTGCTGTGAATGGCTATCATCGCATATTTGACACAAACTGCACCAATGCTTTCTTCATTCCATTATTAGTCCTTAGATATATCAGACGTTTGATACAACACGCACACATGCAGATATGCTGCCTGCCTGCCTCGTCAGAAATTAGGAACAAACTCTCCTGGTCCTTAAAATTTACTAGCTTCAAATTTATCCTAAAATAAAGTTATTTTTTTTACCTACACCCATATCATCTTTCATTTAATTTTTTCTATCTACTTTATATTCTTAACTAATTACTTCCATCAAAAATTCTAACTGTTTTATTAATAATTTATATAACAATATAACGAAAAGCTTACATTTTAGGACGGAGGGAATATCCGTTTGATGCACAACACAGGACAGCAGCACAGCAACCATCTGAGCCTTTAAATACCCCACACCACGAGACCTCCCCTGCTCCGCTCCAAGACACTCGCACGCAGACATCACATCCATTCCAGGCTCGATCGCTTCGATCCCTTTGCCTGAGACCGAGTAAGCCATTTCTCCCTCTGATCCTCCTGTGAAAATTTCTCCTAACCTTTGTGATTGTTTGCCTGGTTTCTCTTTTATTCTTGCATGTGTTGTTTCAGTTTCTTGTAGCGTGATTCTTGGAGATAATTTACAAGGATGAGGGTTTTCTGTTATTTCTTCCCGAATCTTTGGGATCAGTCAGATCTGTTCTTTTTCACTGTACAGTTCATCAGTAATACTGTTGGAGCTTCGATTGGAATCAAAGTTTAGATTCTGCAAACCATTCTTCTTGATTGCATGGCTTCATTTAATCATGCTTCTTCTTTTTCTTCAGTTTTTTTAAACTGTACTGTACTAGAGGCAGTTAGAGTATAACTGTTAATGGATGAACTTGGTGGCTGAACTTCTAATGGTGATGACTTGAGCAGAGAAATGGAGCTAATCACAAACGTCTCCGAGTATGAGCAGCTTGCAAAGCAGAAGCTGCCGAAGATGATCTACGACTACTACGCCTCTGGTGCAGAAGATCAATGGACTCTCAAGGAGAACAGGGAGGCCTTCTCAAGAATTCTGTAAGCTACCTTCCAAAATAGTAGGCTTTATCTCTAGAAAATATATTAGACTTTTAGCTAGCTGTTTCTATCTGGTAGCACACTGCTGGATGAACTGTGTTTGTTTTATTTACATCAGCAGATAATAATTGAGCTTAAAGTAGTGCAATTGAAAAGTTCTTGGAAATATTTTTTTCAAAAGGATCCCAGTTCCATATTTTTTTTGATGTCTCATGAAAAGATAGATGATAGATATGGCCAGAGGCGTCTCCAATCCTAGTGGAAAGCTTACAAGTCCGTGATTATAATTAACTTTCGGATTTTTTCAAGTTTCTGACAAGGTTTGAGTGTAAGTGGATCAGTTTGCCTTTGATTAATGTAATGACATGGCGGCCAAAGTGGACAAACAACATTGAGTAGAGGACAAAGATCAGACGTGTCTTGTGACATGTGGTTTGTATGGTCAAAGTAGATGACAGTTTCATTAAGAATTCTCATACAAAGATAGTACTACATGACAACATTACTTCTTCTCGGTTTCAAAAAAACAACATTACTTCTGCATGTGAAGATATAGATCATCTGCAAGGCTCCAGCTCATTGTAGAAAACTAGGCTTGCATTCGTTTCTTTTAGACTTGAAATATTTCTCTTCAAACTTTGCTGCTCCCAGTTTCTATAGCTATCCTGGATATATACTGTCATACTGATGCTCATGCTAGATGAGAAATACTCTAGCTCAGAAAAAAAAACACGAATATTAAGGAAGGATCTAATATAAAATAAATAGAAGGAGTGAGGTTTCGAACCCAGGCCGGCTAGTCCACCACCTTGTGGCTCTAGCTCAGAAAACGTCTGTTGACAAAATAGTCATACTGCATTATCTTCAATCGGATACAAGGAAGTCTCGCACACGTGATATATTTGAATATGAAAGGTATTGATCACAAGATTCTTGAACTTTACTTTACCCTTCCCTGAAAAATGGTTCCAGGTTTCGACCGCGAATACTGATTGATGTATCCCGTATCAACATGGCTACAAATGTCTTGGGCTTCAACATTTCCATGCCCATAATGATTGCTCCCTCAGCCATGCAGAAAATGGCCCACCCCGAAGGTTTATCCAAGTTGCATTCACCTAATTCTTTCCTCTTTATTTTTTTTTTCAAAGCAATGTTTCTCATGGAGATGTTTATCTGACATGCAGGAGAGCTTGCTACTGCAAGAGCAGCTTCTGCTGCAGGAACAATAATGGTTTGAGAGATATCCAAAAGCTTGTTATGTTTTTTTTGGTCTCAAAATGATTAATTCAGTGTTCTGATGCTATGGCTCAACATTATGTTTTTTTTTTCAGACATTGTCTTCATGGTCCACTTCTAGTGTTGAAGAGGTTAATTCAGCAGCGCCGGGGATACGTTTCTTCCAACTCTATGTATATATTTTTCTTCAAAAATACTTAAGATGTAATGAGGAGCAGTGTTTTCAGTTTCTAAACCTTAGCTGAGTTACCTCTGTCTTTACTAGGTTTACAAGGATAGGAATATAGTACGGCAACTTGTCAGAAGGGCTGAATTGGCTGGTTTTAAGGCGATTGCACTCACTGTCGACACTCCAAGGCTTGGTCGCAGGGAAGCTGACATCAAGAACAGGTCCTAATCTAGCAACTCTGTACACAATTACTGTATGCTTTACCACGTTCCATACTGTCATTTCATCAGGGGCTTTACAGTCTTAAGTATGTATTCTGAATTTCCGATGTCTTGCAGATTCAACTTACCTCCACATCTGGTATTGAAGAATTTTGAAGCGCTGGATCTCGGCAAGATGGACAAGGTTTATCTAAAACTGAACCCTTATGCATCTATATATGAACAAAATTTTCTTATATTCTTAAATGTGTTTTATGTTTTTATTCAGACAAATGATTCTGGCCTTGCTTCCTATGTTGCTAGCCAAGTTGACCGCTCTCTGTCTTGGACGGTATATGCTTCGATACCATCCTTAGTTTTGTGCACCAAACAATGAATCAGAAACTGGGATACTGTCCTGGTTCTTCTGGCACTTCTCTGTGGCAATGAGATGCTGATGCTACTGATGCACAATGCAGGACGTGAAGTGGCTACAGACAATCACCTCGTTGCCGATCTTAGTGAAAGGAGTCATGACTGCAGAAGATAGTAAGTGCAGTTTCAGAGTTCTGGTTGCTCATTGTTCATTGTTATGGCATGCCATGGTCTGATGGCTGATGATCACATGAATTTGGTGCAAAATGCAGCTAGGCTTGCTGTCGAAAGTGGCGCGGCCGGTATCATCGTGTCCAACCATGGAGCTCGCCAGCTAGATTATGTTCCTGCAACTATCAGCTGCCTGGAAGAGGTATATGCTATTAATTGCTAACCCAGCTACTGTCATAAAATGCACTTGTAAACATCTTCAGAGGAATCTTCAGTGCAACTGACATATTCAGAAATTCTAGCAAGAAACTTCCCTGAACTTCCATGATCTATACTGAAAGTGTCGAGCAAACTCAGGTCGTCAGGGAGGCAAAGGGGCGGCTGCCGGTGTTCCTCGACGGCGGCGTCCGCCGTGGCACGGACGTGTTCAAGGCCCTGGCGCTGGGAGCTTCAGGAGTATTTGTTTGTCCCCAGAGCCTGCATTTTCAATCAAGTTAGTACAGTACCATCTGAATTTACAGCCCGCTTAACGCCATGAGCATTTGGGTGTTCGTCAGATTGGCAGGCCGGTGCTGTTCTCGCTGGCCGTGGACGGCGAGGCCGGCGTGAGGAAGGTGCTGCAGATGCTCCGCGACGAGCTGGAGCTCACCATGGCGCTCAGCGGATGCACGTCGCTGGCCGAGATCACCCGCAACCACGTCATCACCGACAGCGACAGGATCCGCCGCTCCAGGCTGTAGAGGCTAAGCTCTGCAGCGGTTGCAGTGATCGAATTGTCCATGTATGGTATGCTAGTCCATTTGAGATGCTACTGCTAGTAGTTATTGTGATCCCTCCCACATTTGATGATGCCGGGTAATAAGGAGAGGGAGGAGGCTGGGATGTGTGCCTCCAGGTGTATGTGTTCGGTGTTCCTCCGTGATGGAGGAGTATGTAGCAGGGAATTTGTCACTGTTGCTGTCGTTGGCAGGGAATTTGGTGATTCAGAGTAGTTTGTGTTGGAAAAAGGAAAATCTGTCCAATTCTGTCTCGACACTGACTGTGATGCTTTGCATCGTCATTTGTCGTGGACGAAACGAAGCTTTTGCCTCTGTTCATGATTTTTTTAACCTTTTTTATTTTAAAATTTAAAGATAAACCCTTCCAAAACTTATTTCCAAAATATAAACCTTCTCATCACATCAGCCAGAGTAACGTGGCCAAATAACGCTGCCATGTCAGCGAGATTGGCGTGACAATATTGTTTTGCCACATCAGTTCAGCTAGCATGGTCAAAATGTTCGGATTTTGAAAATAAGTTTGTGTAGGGTCTATTTTTAAAATTGAAAATTAAAGGTTAAAAAGATTAAAAAAAATTCTCTGTTCATAGCTCAGGAAATCGTTTGCTCTCTGATAAATGGGCCCCAGGCCCACTGTCAGTTTCACATACACTCCTCCCCAGTCACCTACGAATTCCGCCAGCGGCAGTGGCGGCGGCGGCGCTCCTCGCCGCCGGCCGCTCGCCGCCTCACCGATGCCGTTCCCGCGCCTCCCCGCGGTGTAGGTCCAGTTCCTAGCAGCCAGCGCTTGCTGCCTGCTGGCCTTTCAACTGCCTCCAAGGCTCCAACCCTAGCGCGGCGCCATCATCATCCCAATCGTCCGCTACAGCCTACAAATCGCGGTGATGGTCGCGTCAGCGTCGCAAGCTACCGAACTAGCGCCGCTTCGTCGTCCTGCCGCTGCGGCTTGCAGGGAGAGACAGCGAGAGCTGTGCTGATGAAGTGATGAAACTTGTGGGCTTGCGGCTTCCAGGACCAAACTGCAGGTACCAGCACCAATTTTTATTCCAAGAACACGCGTGATACTCTCCTCTAGTAAAATACTTCAGATATCAGTCAATCTTTGGTGTCTTGCTGATGGGGAAAATCTGATTCTTGAATACAAAATTAGTACACAAGTAAAGATCCTTCCTACCTCCAAGATATTCTCCCCTGTCACTGTCGGTAGATCACCACTCTCTTCCTCATCCACACAGATGAACACAAAGAGGAAAGAGCATAAAAAAGCCCCCCAATTCCTCCTTCCAGTTCAAGAGTACAAGAAAGACACAAGCACAGACAAAATTCCTGAGCCCTGCCCCCCGTTGCTTAGTAAACAGTGAGTCCTCTTGCTGATCTATCGTGCAGAAATTCCAAAACTACACCTTTGGTTTTAGTATACTTCTTTTTCATGCATGTCTTTTAATTTGATGGATTTGTGTGGGGGAAAATGTTTCGCTTGAGCTTCTCGCATGCTCTATTCCTGTTTTATTTCATCAAATTTTGTGAATCTGTAAGATTAATTCGATTCATGGGTAATTGGTAAGCACGACATCTGTGCCATTTTATATCGTATAAGCACCTTTGTACTGATGCATATTACATAAGGGCCATCATTTTTTTTCATGTTGCTTTTGCCTTCCATACTAAGCTGGTCCTGTAGCATTTTGGAGTTTTTATGGCTGTGCTGAAGATAATAATTTGAGCAGGGAGATGGCTCTGGTCACAAATGTGTGCGAATATGAAGAACTTGCAAAGCACAAACTGCCAAAGATGGTTTATGATTTCTATGCTGTTGACGCAGAAGACCAATGGACTCTCAGGGAGAACAGTGAGGCATTCTCCAGAATTTTGTAAGTTGTGCTCTAAATTGGTAGGGAATATCTGAAAATGGAGATAGGGAGGTCCTGATTTTGTGTTATATTCATAGAAGTTATTGTTAGGATGTAGCTTTTAGTTATTTTCATTTGACATTGTGTTTTGATTTTGAAATAAAATATATTACCCATTACTTCGTCTTTCAAAGTATATTATGGTGTCCTTTGTGGATAAATGATGTTAGGTTTCAGCCGGTTGTATTGGTTGATGTGTCCTGTATCGACATGTCTATGAGTGTCTTAGGCTACAATATTTCCATGCCCATTATGATTGCTCCTACGGCTTTGCACAAATTGGCACATCCTGAAGGTTCTGGTTTGCTACCTTTATATCTTTCTTTTGGCAATCGCATATTTCAATGAGAAGTTCCTTTAGGGATATTTATCTGGAATGCAGGAGAGCTTGCTACTGCCAGAGCTGCAGCTGCTGCAGAAACTATAATGGTTTGAAAGATCGTAACAAATTTTATGCATTTTGATATCTACGTCTGACACATTGATTCACCAACTAGTCATATTTTCAGACATTGTCTTCATGGTCATCTTGTAGTATTGAAGAGGTTAATTTGGCAGGGCCTGGAGTTCGTTTCTTCCAACTTTCAGTATTACACTATTTTCTTTCTTAGATTCTTCACCTTTCTTCTTTAGGATTTATGCTCCCTTACTTCTTATCAATGTCTTGTTCAGATATACAAGGACAGGAACTTAGTGCAACAGCTTATCCAAAGGGCTGAAAAGGCTGGCTATAAGGCAATTGTACTGACTGTTGATGCTCCATGGCTTGGTCGCAGGGAAGCTGATGTCAAGAACAGGTCCTCATCGTGCAACCGTAGTGTTTGACTTGTGCATTATGCATTATTTAATGAAAATCTGTACCCTGCATCAATATCCTTTTCTTAAAGGCACCTTTATTGAAAGAAGAAACTCCACCGCAAACTCATTATCTGCATTATACTTTACATTACATTCTAGGTTCACCTTGCCTCAAAATGTCATGTTGAAGATCTTTGAGGGGCTGGATCAAGGGAAGATAGATGAGGTTGTCTAAAAACTAGTGCCATTGTGTGAAGTAGTCATGATTCTGTTTAACAATGCCCTGAATCATTCTATTTATCTGATGTTTCAGACGAATGGTTCTGGTCTTGCTGCCTATGTCGCTAGCCAGATTGACCGCTCTTTTTCTTGGAAGGTATTGCAGTGACACTATGACTTGTAATTTCCAGATAACAACCAGTTAATATGAAAGATTTTAACCATCAGAACAATGTCATATCTCAGACAATTCTTAATGTGAATGAAACCGTGTGATGTTGATGACTCATCCTACAATACAGGATATCAAGTGGTTACAGACAGTTACATCATTGCCGGTCTTAGTGAAAGGAATTATAACAGCACAAGACAGTATGTCCTTTGCTTTCAATTACCTTGTGTAACTACATGCCTCATTATCCAAGCTGCAGATCTCACAAGACATTTACAAAAATGCAGCTAGAATTGCTATAGAATACGGTGCAGCTGGTATCATCATGTCCAACCATGGCGGCCGCCAGCTAGACTATCTTCCTGCAACCATCAGCTGTCTAGAAGAGCTATGCCATATGTAACTCTCTTTTCAATCTTAATGAAATTTGGTCGGCTCCTTCACCGACTCAGCAATCAGCTGTGTAGAAGAGGTATGCCATTGATAACCCAATCTGCACTTCAGCTTATTGTGCTTTTAAACACATTTTAACTGAAAACAGCACGAATCTCAGGTTGTCAGGGAAGCAAATGGGCGTGTGCCGGTGTTCATCGACAGCGGTTTTCGCCGCGGCACCGACGTGTTCAAGGCCCTGGCATTGGGAGCTTCAGGGGTATTTGTAAGTCCCCTAGCTAGCTACTGCTTGAATGAAAGATGATGCTGAATTGCTCATGACACGGCATCTGCATACGCTTCTTGTTCTGTCAGATTGGTAGGCCGGTGCTGTTCTCCCTCGCCATCGACGGCGAGGCCGGCGTGAGGAACGCGCTGCGGATGCTGAGAGACGAGCTGGAGATCACCATGGCGCTCAGCGGCTGCACGTCGGTGAAGGAGATCACGCGCGGCCACGTCGTCACCGAGAGCGACAGGATCCGCCGTTGTTCTCGGCTGTAGTGTACCCAGGTTTCCTTTGCGTTTGCGTTCTTGGGAGTGTTTTGGCTGACTGTGGAAAATTCTAATTTGTTTTATTGTGATGTTTTCTGATCTATTATATCGACCCTCTCATGGGGTATATATAGGAGTACATAGGGGATAGAGACTTGGAGTATAATACAAGTAAGAGTAGATTTATCTCTAGGATTCTATCTTTAGGACTCTATCTTATCTCTAGGAGTCAATCTCTAGGATATATCTTATCTCTATATTTGTATTTGACTCTTATCTCTAACTAACACATTATATTTCTAACAAAAGACATCTTTGCAGATTGCAATTGATGTGATTCTGTAACTTTGCGTTCATTGTCAGATGGAGATGGTTGTGTTTTTTTAGAAACTTAGTACAATCAGGCATGTGGAGAATGGTAAGTATTTAGAAACACAATTCAAACATAGGCGTTCATAACCGCGTACGTATAACATACTCACCTATATGAACACATACACATGGAGAATGACAAGTTTTTTAAAAACAAAATTCAAACGTGGGCATTCATAACGTATGCACACACATACCCTATTATACTGAAAAAAATAATTAGTCGTAGAGGCGAGCATCTGTACATCAAGACAATAATTAGTCGTAAATGCAAACACATGTGTTGACTCTAGAACTTAATTCGGATGGATTAATTTGACCATAAGAAACCAAACTAGTTGAATTACGCCGTAATACAGATAAATCCTAATAGATCTATTTTAGAAGATGATAAGTTCATAAATAATATCCAAATTCGGCATGGTTCACATTAAAATTAGAAATTATAGACGAGGAAGGAAACCAATCTGCTGCCGTGTTACACGGTAACCGCAGTTTGCAACCGTCAATAGGAGACCCTATCCACTACGAAATCCGTTGGATCCCTCGTGCTCCGCAATCTCAGCCGTCCGTTTCCCCCTATAGTCCCCCTTACCTCCCCTTCTACAGTTCTACGAAGTACGATCCAAACACCAGCGGCGAAGGCGACGAAGACGAGGGCAAAAACACCAGAAGGGGAAAACTTTTGCTCTCCCGGCGATCTCGAGATCTCTCAAGATGGTAATCCCCCATCCAATTTCTCTCTACTTTTCCTCGGATTTGCGCCGCACTCCCGATCGATGTCTTCGACGCGGTTAACTGCGATGGATTTGCGCGAGATCGGATCCTATGGTCTAGAATTTCGAGTCGATTAGGCTTTTTTTTGGGTGGTGTTTTGCGTTGGGTGATTTCAGATTGGAAGTAGAACGGGGGGACGAGGATTCTGAGAAGAATCTACTGGTCTTTGTCGTACTGAATGCTCTCGATTTCCTCCTGTTTTGATCGCGTCTGTGTGGTTTGGTCTGGTCAGGTGGTGCTGCAACCAGATCCGTTTCTGAGCGAGTTGACGAGCATGTACGAGCGGAGCACGGAGAAGGGATCTGTCTGGGTCACCATGAAGCGATGTGAGTGCGCGCTTTCATCTGGCAATCTGGTTTGTGATTTGGGTGGCTGAAGAACTGATGCTTGAGTTGATGGGGGTTGTTTGATATGTGCAGCATCGATGAAGTGCCAGGCAAGGTTGAAGAAGATGGCGGCGAAGGGAGAGGCAGTGGAGTACCGGTGCCTCGTCCGTGCCACCGATGGCAAGAAGAACATCTGCACCGCGGTACAGTGACTGTCCTATTGTCCTTTGCTGTGCTGATTTTGAATTATTATTTTGCTTATGGTTGTTAGTTTTGTGCATAATGGTTACCGATTATCTGGTATTCGATGCTAATTATGCCACCAGGCGGTAAGTGAGGAATGTGAATATGACATTAGGCGCTTTTGGTATTGCACTAAAACCTCTCGGATATGAAATTTCGGTACTGAGCCAGTTTATTTGGTATTCAAGTCAGCAAGGTATATTGTTTTAAGAGATAGATAAAAGTATGGAACTGTAGAAGTGCTGCAATAAGTATGATCCAAACTGTGAACTGTATATATAGTGAACATATATTGTAGATTGGTCTATGTAGAAGATATACAGTACGTTGGTTTCTTGCTTAAGCTTCTCACAAGCATCCTTTCGCGGTAACATGTGTAGGCACTCGTGAAGCATGATCATAAACAGCGAGGTACCGTAGAATCAGATGCTTACTCATAGGACATCTTAACTCGCATCCTATTGAAGTAGAATGTGTAACATAATCATAAGTTGGAACAGACTATACTATCACATGCTTAGTTGTAGCATGGTAAATTGATAATAAACATGAATGAACTTTGTTCAATAGACAAACTAGCCAAGAAAACGTTTAGTGCCATTCATGGTGTTAATATTGCATGTTTGCCTGCCCTACACTACCGCAGTCTCATTTTCATCCTATGCTAAGATAACTCTCAAGTTGGTGTAGATATTGAGTATGAAACTCATTTGTGTGCTCTTGCCAAGTTTTGATTGCATTAAGTAGTGAGGTTTCTCATTAATTGCACCATCTTGCATTTTCTGAAAGCGTCATCAAGTTGTTTGAGCTTAAATTTATATGGTGAAAGTATTGTTTCTAATGATAAGACTGTAGTATCGATGGGCATCCACTGGCCACTTTTTCCCATGTGATTAATCTTTACCACCAAACAGTTGGGTCGATAATCTTTTTCCACAAGAGTAAGAACGCCATGATAAGTTCAGAGTCCCAAGATCTATGTTCTGAACAGTTTATTTTCTCCTCTACCCTATATGTGGTGAAAATTCACATGGTGATGTGAGGTATTCCATATGAAGGCTAAAAAGTTGGTGATTATATCTCCCATGCTGTTCATGTAGATACAGAATAATAGCTGGTTTGGAACCATGTGTGTCCATATCTATTTGTCCCTGCTAAATTACATTTGTCAAAGCTCGCCCAATGGAGCATTTATTTGCCCCTGCTATTGCAATAATGCCTCCTAGGGGTCGATAGTGCAATTACGAGCTGAGGTAAACTACTATATTTACTTAGATGTTAGTGATACTATGTTTTTTTCCTTCAATACTATTTATAGGACAGTCATTTGCAATACTTTTTTTTTTGTAATTTTGATGAAAACTGGATATCTGAGTTGACTAATTACATGTTCGTAGTTTTGATGAAATAATGGATATTTGAACTGATTAATGATGGATTTATTCATCTTTCTGAAGCCATAAACATTAGCCATACTTATTTGAGATGCGTAAATTATTCTCCTGTCACTTCCTTAGCTTTTTGGGCTACCCAATAAGTCTAACTTAAAAAGCTCGCCATGTCTTTCAGCTCTCTGCAAAGGAGTACCTGAAGTTCCAAGCTTCATATGCCACAGTTCTTAAAGCCCATATGCACGCTTTGAAGAAGAGGGAGAGGAAAGACAAGAAGAAGGCTGCAGAGGTTGAGAAGATACCAGAGAAGGCACCGAAGAAGCAGAAGAAAGCACCGTCTTCAAAGAAATCTGCAGGGTCCAAGTCGTAAGTTACTGAAAGAATTTGCTAAGCCCTTTTTTGGCCACAGGCCTGAGTAAGATGGGTGTAGTCAAGACATTATCCTCCATTTTACTCTTATTCATGTCTGCGAGATGAAGCATGTGAATACCTTTATAGAGCTGTGCCGTCGACATTAGCAATTTTTGAAGCAGCTTTGGTTGTCTAGATGTAAGCCGCCCTGGAATTTTCTATTTCTATCATAGAAAGGCATCTCTTAAACTGTGCCTGATCTGATCGTCAAGTTAGTGCAACTTTCAATTGACAGAATTACGTCTGGAACATGAAGTTATGCAACTAAGACTGCAGAAGGAAATTGCAGAACTGTTATCTGGATGTCTGTGTTCCTTCAATTTTGTTTTTCTGGTTGGGGAGAAAAAGTGTGAAGGTATGTCTGTGTCACGATTCCCACATGCAAGTGGTGATCAGAATATAAGCAGATTCCATGTTTAGGTTGGTGCATAAGCAAACGGCGTACTACTATGGGCCTATTTGGTAGAGCTTCAACTCTGGATTTTAGCTCTAGGAGTTGGGTCTGGAGTGGAGTTGTAGAGCTGCCTGAACCTAGCTCTATCTCTGAGATTTTCACCCTTCTATTTTAAGTGGAGCTGAGGTGCCAAACAGGCCCTATCTCTCAGCAATTGCTGCATCAACATGGAGCATTGGAGGGCCGTATGCCCGTATCCTGTGTATGGGCACAGCATTGTCGGTTCCTAGCTATTTGTTCTGCCATCCCCCGGTCCCAACTGATTCTCGTATCGGTCCAGACAAGTCCAAAAGCTCCAAGCTCCAGTTTTTACACCATTTCGTTTTTCTTTAACACGGTTAGAATTTATAAACCATATCATGTGGTGGTATTTTTGTCCAGAGATTCACCTCAGAAGTGGCGAATTTTTATCGTACCAATTGCAGAGACGAATCTTTGCTGAGTAGGAGGCAGCAACCACTATGAGCAGCCGTCACCATCCAACCGGACAAAATCCATCAAAAAATAACCCAAAGAAATCAAAACAAAAGCGAGCACCCACCGATGATCACTCACTGATCTCTCATCACCAAACGCCTCCGACCTCGCTCGCGTCGCGCGCCGCGCACCCATCCCCCCGGCCTCGCCACCACCCACTCCCGATCGCCCCCGTCGCCACCCACCCCCTCAGAAATCTCATCTTTTCCGCCTCCTCTCGCCAACCAAACCCGCGAAACCCCCACAAACGACGGTGGTGAAAGAAGATGAGAGGGCTACTCGCGTGCGCCACGCTCGCCCGCCGCGCCGCCGGCGCGACGTCGACGGCGCGGCGGCACCTGGCGGGCGCGGCCGAGGCGGCGGAGGCGGAGCTGAAGAAGACGGCGCTGTACGACTTCCACGTCGCGCACGGCGGGAAGATGGTGCCGTTCGCCGGGTGGAGCATGCCCATCCAGTACAAGGACACCATCATGGACTCCACCCTCAACTGCCGCGCCAACGGCAGCCTCTTCGACGTCTCCCACATGTGCGGCCTCAGCCTCCACGGCCGCCAGGCCATCCCCTTCCTCGAGTCCCTCGTCGTCGCCGACGTCGCGGCGCTCAAGGACGGCACCGGGACGCTCACCGTCTTCACCAACGACCGCGGCGGCGCCATCGACGACTCCGTCGTTACCAAGGTCACCGACCAGCACATCTACCTCGTCGTCAACGCCGGGTGCAGGGACAAGGATCTCGCCCACATTGGGGAGCACATGGAGGCCTTCAACAAGAAGGGCGGCGACGTCAAGTGGCACGTCCACGATGAGCGCTCGCTTCTTGCATTGCAGGTGAGCGGTTTCTGTTTCTTGCCCTCTTTCATCTGGGGAATCTGTTGGTGATTTTAGTTTGCTTAATTGATTGCCTCAATTGATTATACATTTCGGAAAGGGATTTAGCAATTGATTATTTCTGGGATTTGGGAATGTCATGCTTTGAGATGAGTAGTCAATACATGGATAAAAGGTCCATTCCTGTCAGATATAAGGTGGGATGTGTAGTCACTAGTTAGTGGATGATGGTAAGCGAAGAAAGATTCGCTTCATATGAAGTAGTAATTTTCTTGCCTACTTGAAGAAAAACTACATATCGTTTTTATTAGCTGGAGGATTAGAGAATATAAGCTGTTAGGCTTGTTTCTTTCTGCAGTTTTATTTGTTATATTGTCAACGCAGGGTAGAAGATAAGGCTTTTTTCCCAGGATGCACAATGCCTTGATGTGCATATGAGCAATAGGTAGTAAGGCAGATGTTTGAATTTTGATGGCGTGTTGGTGGAAACATGCGGTGACTTATTATTTGTTGTTTAATGTTTAGTGGCATTTTCATGATCAGTAAATTTGATTTCTGGTTGTCAAACAATAGTTCTTTGCTAAATCATTATTTTATTTGTTATAGTGCTTTTTTGGAACTGACTATATATTGATTTGTTGAGGTAGTGGTTGAGCAAGTTTGTGTGTCCTTTTCTTGGTTGGTGGAAGTAAAGCTTCTTCTAGTCCTGTGGGTTTATTTTTAGTGTAATACAGAAGTGTCTAGGCCATATTGTCACAAAACAAACTTTAAGTTTCCTATGCAATCACGATACAATACACATAACCTGGTTTCCCTTCTATAGCAACTAATTTCATCAAGAAAGAGGCAGATGGATGTCTGTGCAAATGTATATTCATGGATAGAAACATTGCGCGACATATTTTGTACTTTCAAATTTTCATGCAAGATTGCTGCAGAACTTGTCCCTCAATTCCTACTCCCTCAGCCTTTGTGGGGTTTTATCATAGTGATCAGCTTTCACTATTACAGCACGTAGAAATTTAATTTTTCCTGACGGCATTACTTGTTTTTCACACGAACAGGGACCTCTTGCTGCACCAACTCTCCAGTTGCTGACAAAAGAAGATTTAAGCAAAATGTATTTCAGTGACTTCAAGATGATTGACATCAATGGATATGCTTGCTTTCTCACCAGAACTGGGTATGCTTCATTTGATCCTTTAGCCAAGTTGTTAACAACCATGCTACTACCTTTGTTTTGTGGAATTATTTTGAACACTATGTCAATATTCTGAGAATTTCTTACAGTTATACCGGTGAAGATGGGTTTGAAATCTCTGTTCCATCAGAGAATGCAGTTGATCTTGCAAAGGCCCTCCTGGAGAAATCTGAAGGCAAGGTGAGACTGACTGGTTTAGGTGCCCGTGACAGTCTCCGCTTGGAGGCTGGCCTCTGCCTGTACGGCAACGACATGGAGCAACACATCACACCAGTTGAGGCTGGTCTCTCATGGGCAATTGGCAAGAGGAGGAAAGCAGAAGGCGGCTTCCTGGGAGCAGATGTGATCCTCAAGCAGCTCCAGGAAGGCCCAAAGATCAGGCGTGTCGGTCTCCTCTCGCAAGGACCGCCTCCTCGGAGTCATAGTGAGATTGTGAGCAACTCCGGGGAGAACATTGGTGAGGTTACCAGTGGAGGGTTCAGCCCCTGCTTGAAGAAGAACATCGCCATGGGCTACGTAAAATCCGGTTTGCACAAGGCTGGGACAGAGTTCAAGGTTGTCGTCCGTGGGAAGTCCTACGATGCCGTCGTCACCAAGATGCCGTTCGTGCCGACCAAGTACTACAAACCCTCATAGATTTGTACAAAGGATGCTCCTTCGGTTGAAATTTTCTCATGCAACTCTCTTGTCGCTGCTTGTTCTGCAGCACCGCAACTGTAACTTCTGTAAGGTCTCATCTTACAGCTTGACATTTTACCTCTGCCCATCTAATAATATGAAATGTGATATGCAGTATGGATCCTTTCCCACAGGTAACCCATATTTTGTCTTCAGAACTGGTTGTCTGCGTTGGCAGTTGCAAGGCCAATAGGCCATGTTCCCCGTCTGCAACAGATGTCGCAGAAAGCAAATTCAGCATCTATTTGCCTCCTGTGTTTGTCTATAAACTCAGATGTTCTTCAAGAAAAGAACACTTGATAGCCAAACATTAAGGAAATCGAGACCTGTAGTTCCTTGATGCAAAAGAGAATAAGAAATGTAGAGAGAAAACAACCATGAACTTGCAGAAAAACAGTGGACACGGTTCCAATTCATAGATCTGGGTGATTCTGCGTCCACATGATAATTCCACTTCAGCGAGAGGCTGAAGAAGCTCTAGGGAAGAAGCTGCTGAACTGTTGCGACCGGGCCTACTGGTGATGGCACCACAGGTCAGTGAAGCAAGCCATCGGTTTAAAGGGGCTGTTTAGTTCATGAAAAGAAAATTTTTGGGTGTCACATCAGATCTTTGACCAGATGTCGGAAGGGCTTTTTGGACACGAATGAAAAAAATAATTTCATAACCCGTCTAGAAACTGCGAGACGAATCTTTTGAGCCTAATTAATCCATCATTAGCACATGTGGGTTACTGTAGCACTTATAGCTAATCATGAACTAATTAGGCTTAAAAGATTTGTCTCGCGATTTCCCCCCTAACTATGTAATTAGTTTTTTTATTTATCTATATTTAATGCTTCATGCATGTGTTCAAAGATGTGATGTGATGTTTTTAGGAAAAAAATTTGGGGTACTAAACAGGGCCTAAGGTTTACCTTCCTCTTCGTCTACTGTCCGATTAAACTTAGGCGGCTGAGATTGAGGGAGAACCAGAGGTAAAGGTGTCTTTGCATTGGGACCCTCATACAATACCGTATTGCTTTACACTACTAGGTCCCCAAAAAGTTGGATGTCCAAATGTCGTTCTCGCCATATACCGTCCGATCTCACATAGGCGGTGGATATTATGTTGGGGGACTCGGAGTAACGTGGCGGTGACTTTTCATAGCAACTCTCGTACTGCACTGTATGCGTAGAGCATAAAAGTTGGATAGCTACCAACGGTAGCGATCCAGATTGCCTTCAACATGAACACCCCACCTCACGCAGTCACGCTCACGAGCTCACAGCAATTTGGGTTGTTAAGTTGTTTGGGGGATTGGGATCCTCTGTCGTAGCATGTAATACAACAGATAGTTATAGTATATTGTATATAGTATATAGTAGTCCCTCCTTTCCTAAATGTTTAACGTCGTTGATTTTTTAAACATGTTTGACCGTTCGTCTTATTCAAAAAATTTAAGCAATTATTAATTCTTTTCCTACCATTTGATTCATTGCTAAATATACTTTTATGTATACATATAGCTTTACATATTTCACAAAAGTTTTTGAATAAAACGAACGGTCAAACATATTTAAAAAAGTCAACGGCGTCAAACATTTAGGGAATGAGGGAGTATTAGAGGTATTGTGTATTTTTGAATGTGATTATAGATGGCCATATGGCATGAGGCCCATGGCCCG